ACTAAATTTATCATAAATCAGAGAGAGTGAAGATGAAAGGAGAAGTTTTCTGTTTGTCCTTAATGATAAAAAAGAAAGAAAAGTAAAAGTTGCAAGTAAATAAATCAAGATAACATTGAAAACACAATCTTAAAAAAGAAAACATAATGAGTTTATATAGCATCCAAAGCTTTGCAGATGATAAAACTCAGGAACAAATTGCTGAGCTCCCATCCCACCCAAATACTTAATCACAGCCTGAGAGATATTCAGGATACAAAGTAGTTCAGGGCCTACTGGAGCTTTGTATATTATAAAAAACAAAATATAGAATTGTAAACTATGCCCTCTTGTTCAAGAGCATCTGTGCTCTGCTTTTTTAATAAGATGCCCATCACAGGCGAGCCCCAGAACAACCTTAAACAAAGGTAACTCTCCTTTTTAATCTAGATTTGCATAGTATTAACTGGCTGTCAGCAACCTTTTGCTGCCTTGGGTTGCCACTTACAACCTGATCCATGCCGTAGGCTGCAAATCTCCACCCTCTGGATTGCCCAAGGCTCTTCAGCTTGCCCTTGCCACTGATACCCATCCACAAGAAAATCTCCCTCTGGAGTGTCCAAACCACCTCAGTTTGCCCATCACCGATGCCCACTCACAACAGCAATGTGGCAAGGGTATGTGCAGATACAAGAGAGCAATAGGAAAGGGTGTGGCGGGGGGGCATTGAGAAGGGGATAGGCAGCAAGGTGCAGCTGCAAGGCACCCTGGGCCAGATAAGACCTTCACGGGCTGGATCCAACATCTTCATGGGCCGGATGTGGCACGCAGGCTGTAGGTTGCTAACCCTGGGTGTTAACTAAAGATGCATCTCATAGATGCTCCTCAAAGCATTTATAACCTATCAGCAGTTTACTTGCCAAGCATTTTATCCCTGCCTCTACAAGGGATAAACCCCTATCCCTGCTGTTCTTTCAACCTCCTTTGCACAAAATTTAACCTAAACATTAACAAGTGTTAACTTTACAGAGTCCAACTGTAGGAACAAGGCAAGAAAGGACAGTCACAGTGTATGCTGCTATCTGTAACATTTGCTGAACTGCAGAATCACATGGTCACCCCAGCTTGGGGTGAGAGAAGATGCTATAAGCTATTAGACACCCCTTCCTCCATTCATTGAATGGCTTCCATGGGCTCAGTGAAAAAAGAAATTTAGGCACTGCCCTTGCTGCAGCCACCTGTCTCCTGGTACTAGATATCCAGCTGCTGACTCTTCGTCATAGCAGCAGTGAAGGGTTCCAGTTGTCAGTAATTTGGGACCGGACCTACCATATTACATCATGCACATCTATGTCACATTTCCAAAAGGCTCTTGCTTATTACTTTACGTAACAAATAATTCAAGAATAATTATCAGACCCCTCCCTCAAAATTCAATATGCAATTGCTGTACAGAGCCACAGTCCCAGGTCTCTTCCCTTACCATAAAACAGCTTCCAGCTGTGTTATAGATGAAGTAAAGCTCTTCTTTAAACCTTTAAACTTTAAGCCTCTACTGCATGAATGCAAAGAGCAAGATAAAGTTTACTTGACTCTTAAATATAATGGATTGAAATTGAACTCTAACAGGCAAAAGTTGGTGATCTTATTTGTCAGGATCACAAGACAGCACTTCAATAAATATTAGACAGCTGCAAGCTGCTGGTAAGCAGTTATACTGTTGACTAAGCATTTAAAAATGGGGAAAAACAATAGGCTTTTGTTTAATCTGGGTTCTCATAATTTTAAGCAGGTGTTGGCAACCTTTTGCCACCACAGGCCGCCACTTATAACCAGGTCCCCACTGTCAGCCACAAATCTCCATGCCCTGGAGTGCCCAAGTCACCTCAGCTTGCCCCTGTCACCAATGTCCACCCACAAAAGCAATGTGGAGGGGCAAATTCTGTGGCAAGGGTACATGCAGGTATGAGACAGGCTGCAGAGAGGGATGCTGTGGAAAGGATCTGAGATCCAAGAGTCTCAGACAAAGCAAGGTTCCCAGGAATAACCATATCCTTCTAGTATTTTCAACTTCGTTTCCATTTGTCATGGTGTACCATATACACCAAGTTCTCTCCCCATCCAAACTACTGTTCTCTCCTCATTCAAATCCCTTCTAAAAAACCCTCCTCACTCCTGCATCAGCTGCAAAGTTCACTGCTAAAAGGACAAAGAAATATGTGCAAGAACAAAGAAAAAAATTGTCTCCTCTATGTTTATCATAGAATCATAGAAAACTAGGGTTAGAAGAGACCTCAGGAGGTCATCTAGTCCAAACCCCTGCTCAAAGCAGGACCATCCTCAAATAGATCATCCCAGCCAAGGCTTTGTCTAGCCAGGTCTTAAACACCTCCAAGAATGGAGATTCTACCACCTCTCTGGGTAACCTGCTCCAGTGTTTTACTACCCTCCTAGTAAGAAAGTTTTGCCTAATACCTAATCTAAACTTCCCTTGCTGCAACTTGAGACCGTTGCTTCTTGTTCTATCATCTGCCACCACTGAGAACAGTCCAGCTCCATCCTCTTTCAAGCCACCCTTCGGGTAATTGAAGGCTACTATTAAATCCCCTCTCAGTCTTTGCTTTCCAAACTAAATAAGCACAGTTCCCTCAGCCACTCCTCAGAATTCATGTCCCCTAGCCCCTCACCATTTTTGTTGCCCTCCACTGGACTCTCTCCAATTTGTCCACATCCTCTCTCTAGTGGGGGACCCAAAACTGGACTCAGTACCCCAGATGTGGCCTCCCCAGTGCTGAATAGAGGGGAATAATCACTTCCCTTGACCTGCTGGCAACACTCCTATCAATGCAGCCCAGTATGCCGTTAGCCTTCTTGGCAAAAAGGGCGCACTGCTGGCTCATATCCAGCTTATTGTCCTCTGTAACCCCCAGGTCCTTTTCTGGAAAGCTGCTGCCCAGCCAGTCAGCCCCCAGCCTGTACTAGGACTGTTCCATCCTAAGTGCAGGACTTTGCACTTGTCCTTGTCGAACTTCATGAGATTTCTTTTGGCCCAGTCCTCCAATTTGTCTAGGTCTCTCTGAATCCTAGTCCTACCCTCTAATATATCTACTACCCTCCAGCTTGGTGTCATCTGCAGACTTGCTGAGTATACATCTTCCAGGTTGTTGATGAAGATATTGAACAAAACTGGCCCAGGACCAACCCTTGGAGCACTCCACTTGATACCAGCTGTCAACTAGACATTGAACCATTGATTACTACCCTCTGAGCAGCAAGGAAAGTTTAGCCCCTAGCCCCACCCCCAATCCCTCCCTCACCGGGGGGGGCTCGATCTGCCCCCCACCTCCCATGCCCTTCCCCTCCATAGACTTACCTGCAGGGAGCTGCTCTCCATTCTGCCTGGCTGTATTCCTAGCCACATGCATACGTGCAGCCATGCACATGCATGAGACGCCCCCTGCGTCTCACTCCCAGCAGCCCTATTCTACCCCTTGCAAGCTAGAATGCTGCCCACCTGCAACGGGAAACCCACCATTTCCCAAGGGAACCCAGGCATCTGGGGACCCTGGTTCCACAAGCCAGAGGGAACCCAGGTGTCCAAGAGCCCTGGCCAGAAGGCATAATTAATTATATTTATCAGAGAACATTATTGGCTACAACAGAAAAAGAAAGTCAATAATGTAAATTTCCCTTTTATCGATGCCGATCCGATATGCAACTGATATACTGATATATCGGTGCACCTCTAGTTATGCTGGTGCAAAATTAACTCAAGATTTCTAAAGCTGGTTAAGGGAAATGAAGTAAAGGGTCTCTAAATCCCTTAGGCCAGATTTCAGCAACATTTTCCAGTAGGGGGCTGGAATGACCCACCTTAGGTCTGACATAGGCAAGCACCAGGACCCAGCTGCCTCCACCACTTATGCCAGAGACCTAAACACCTGACTGCAGCATGGCCCTGGGAGAGCTCCACCTCTGCCAAAGCTCCAGGCACCAGAATGCAGCACAGCATGAGCAGAGAGCCCCTGTGGCAAAGGGGCCAAAGCCCCTGCTACTGGGAGTGGGTGAAGTGCTACAGGGAGACTCCAAAACAGTAAGCCTTTTGGAAGGAGAGACAGGTAGCAGGTGTAGAAGAGGTAAAAGAGGCAGGCCAGGAAAATAAGCCTGTTAATTGGAGACAAAGAAAAATCCCTGAGCCTGACACTGAAGACTGGAGGTCAGGTGACTGGAAGCAGAGGAGAAAGGACTAGACTATATAAACCTAACCCAGGGCTAGAGGCTCAGATTAGCTCTGATTCTGCTAAAGAGAAGAGCTTGGCTGAACACCTCTGAAAGTTAAGCAGTTTGTATTATAGTTATTTACCTTTGAAGTTTATGTTCTGGTAGGAAGCCTGGGAGGCTCTCTGTGCCTAAAAGGGACTAAAGTCCAGACAGAGCTCTGCAAGGTCCAGGATCAGTGGGCTGCATGGGCTGAGGCTGAAACAGAGCCAAGGGCCCAGTAAATAGATAGAGACCTTCTAGGGCCACGGGTCTGGTGGGTAGAGTGAGCTGAAACCAAGAGAGCAAACACTCAGCCAGTGCCAGGAGCCTAAGGGTGGCTCAGTGGACTGTAGCCAAGGTAAAGTGAGAGAACTGGAAGAGAAAGACCTGTGAGGCATAGGTGTGGCTATATAAAGGCTGGAGGCCATGATTGGGGCCAAATGGACCACAAGTGGCATCAGCTGGGGAACGATTGTAGCCTACATCTACAATCAGGAGGGTAGCTAGAGGGCCAGTAGGCTCAAAGCAGGGAGGCCTGGAGCAAAAAGGTAGAGAAAAAGAATAAGAAGAAGAATTATCCAATTCTGGGCTCCACAATTTAAAAAGGATGTGGAGAAGCTTGAGAGAGTCCAGAGGAGAGCCGCGTGCATGATCAGAGGGCAGGAAAACAGGTC